AGCAGGAGAGGGAGAAGCAGGCTTCCCGCGGAGCAGGGAGCCCGATGCAGGGCTCAATCCCAGGACCCCGGGATCATGACCTGCCTGAGCCGAAGGCAGACGCTTAACGACTGAGCCACCCAGGCACCCCGTCCCGGGGTTTCCATTTTAAAACACACCTCCAGGGGCTCAAAATGCCAGAGCTGTGTGGGGATGATGATATAACCCTGCAGGAGACGAAAGCAGAGAGGCCTCCCCGGCCATATCCAGGGCACCGTGTTAGTCATCACCTACCTCTGACTGCTGCTCAGGGAGTTTCATATTGTCAAAAATCCTGAACACGATTCTGAACAGGTCCTGCCACCAGTGCTTTTCAAAGGTGTGGCCATAGCTCTTCATGATCTCGAACATGACTGTGAGTCCTCTGCAGGAACAAAGACAGGCGCAGAAAGGGATGGGGGTGAGGAGGAAAGAACAGCAGAGAAGAGAGTGGGAGAGCATGGGGTCAGGTGAGCAGGTGACCGAGGCTCATTCTGTGACGGAAGGGGCACCGTCCCGGGACATGGTTACCTTGTCCGAACATCTAGCTTGCATCTGTTAATGATGCAGGAGAGCTCAAACAGGATGGGGAACCAGCCTCGGACCCAGACCCTGTCGCCAGGAGCAACATTCATGTCGTCGCTTGTGTATTCTTGTAGCACCTGCCAGGAGAGTCACCTCTCAGATACAGACTATGCAAGCAAAGGAAGAAACTAAAAGGGAACTACACGAAGGTTAAGGCCCCACACATTTCCCCCTCCTAACAACATCCATTCAGCAAGGGCAGGATAGGGAATCTCCAGGAGGCAAACACAAGCCTCTCCCAAGTGCATGCGAGCAGTTATGCCTACGGACCTTTGTGGGTTTTAGAATAAGCTGAGTGAGCAGACCACTGCTGAGTTAACTTAGGCACTAGGACGTGAAGTCAGCTGTTCAAGGTCACGCAGCTAGGAGCTGGAAGTCTTTCCAGTCTGGATGTGAAACCCCACTCCCTGCCCTGACTCTGGGATTTCGAGCCCTTTGATCTGTAACTACTCTTGAAGCGTGGTACTATCCGCTGTAATGAATTTTTTTTTTTTTCTTTTTAAAGATTTTATTTATTTATTTGAGAGAGAGCACATGAGAGGGGGGAGGGTCAGGAGGGTCAGAGGGAGAAGCAGACTCCCTGCCGAGCAGGTAGCCCGATGTGGGACTCGATCCAGGGACTCCAGGATCATGACCTGAGCCGAAGGCAGTCGTTTAAGCAACTGAGCCACCCAGGCGCCCTGTAATGAAATTTCTTTATCAGCTCTGGTTACCCAACACTAGGCCATTTCTCTCTGCACCTCCGTCAACTCCCCTGTACAATGGGGACATAATTGCCAATCTCATAGGTCTAATGTGGAAACTAAATAAATCAATACACAGAAAAAATCTGAAGGAGAGATCTGTATCGGCCGTCACAGTTTAGACATGCTTATTTCTACCCAATTTCAGTATGAGACTGTCCTTTAAACCAAGCGGGCCTCTTTGGAAAGGTGAGACATGACAGAAAAACCCCAAACATTTCTGGGAGAAAACAAAAGGTGATTTTTTAAAATGTGACTTCTCAGCCATGTCACAATGGTAAAATGTCATTTCCTTAAGAGGGAGGTTTGTTTTCTTTCAAATAGAAAGGTCTAGCTTCTTCAACTTCGCCAAAATTCAAAGCTAAATACCCATCTCCTACAAAAACAATTAGAATACCCGGTAAAAGTTCAGTAGGAGTAAAAGAAGTAATTTCATACATACAAAAGGAGAGAAGGGGTAGAACCCCAGCAATGGGCAGCATTTAGGGCAAACATGCATTTCTAAAAGCGTAGCTGGAACGCTCTTTGCGATTCCTTTTCTCCTCAGTGCCCAAGCGGGAGGAGAGGAAATGATGTACCCGAGGCCTCTCGGAGACGTATTTCCCACAGAAGCGGATGAGCCGGATCGCCTCCATGCTCGTGTCGGGGAAGGCGGCATTGCAGGCAAACTCCGACAAGCACTTCACAGCGTCCTGAAAGGAATCGATGGCTGCAGGGAAATGGTGCTGGAAAATAGTTGCTGCGGAAACAAAGCCATGTTTTTTATAAGACCAGGAGATTTAAAAATGGGGATCGAACACCCCCCACCCTGAAGGGACTACTTCTGCGAAAATCTAAGAAAAGCATGTCACTATCTCTAGAAGATAGCATTTCTTATTAAATTATTCAGGAATGAATCAATTGGGCACTGCCTGGGCTAAACTGGTTCCTGAGTTCCAATATTCATTCACTCACTCATTCATTCATCATTTACTGAGTGCCAACTATGTGCAAAGCACAGTTGTGGGCCCTGGGGACAGAGGTGACCAATTAAATTTCCTGCCTCACGATACTCGTGCTCCAATGGGCAAAACAGACAATAATCGCCTAAACCAATACATATATAAAATATAAAATAATCTCAGGTTGGGTGAGTGCTGGGTGAGGGGACAGAAGGCAGTAGGGGTTGCTTAGGCTGGGGGTCAAGGAAGGACTCTCTGAAGAGGCTCTACCTGACAAGTGTCCCTAAGGAAGTGAGAGAGGACAAGCCATGAGAAAACCAAGTTTCACCAGGATGCCAAGGTGTCCGTTTCAACTTAAACTATTTTAGGATGGAGCTTGAGGAAATGGAGAGGACAATGATCTCTGTTTGAAGCTGGCCCTCAGTGGTCTGCCTGATAGAAGCTGAGCACTGGGCAAAGCTCTAGCCCTGGTTCGGTGATCCTGAGCACACTCCTTTAATTCCCCGGCCGTTCCTGTCCTAAGACAGCCCTTTGGATTGTGGAACAGCATCTCCAAATAAAGGGGCATTTCCTCTGAACAGGAAGCAGGTAGTCCACCAGTAGTAGAAACAACAAACAGTAGACTTTCAAACAGCAGCAGTTCTTCTGGGAGTTCATCAGTTCATTCTGCTCAGCAACAACCTCCGGGATGTGTTTCTCAGGAGCCAAGACCACCTCTTCAGCAGTCTCAGGTTCCTCCCCCGGAAGTTAGAACGACCGTCCCTCCTTTAGCAGCAACAAGTTCTGCTCCAGTGGCAGTGCCTTCTACTGCCCCAGGGGCTTGCCCTATGCCTCAGACACAAATGGGATGCTCCCAGCCTGCTCCTAAAATGGAAACCCCTGCTATTAGACCACCCTCTCCTGGCACAACTGCCCCTCACAAGAATCCAGCTCCAGTGCAAAATTATCTGTTGCAGTCACATGAAAAGACCTCACAGTGTTCCCTCTTCTGTCCAGCTACCTTCAACCTTAAGTACACAAAGTGCTTGTCAAAATTCAGTACATCCAGCTCCCAATTTCAGTGCCCCCTTACCATTTGGGCCCTTTAGCACATTGTTTGAAAACAGCCCTACTTCTGCTCATGCCTTCTGGGGAGGATCTGTTGTTTCATCTCAGTCAATACCAGAATCTATGCTATCAGGAAAATCCTCATATTTGCCAAATTCAGATCCTTTACATCAGTCTGATACTTCTAAAGCTCCAGGTTTTAGACCATTACAGAGACCCGCTCCAAGTCCCTCAGGTATTGTCAATATGGACTCGCCATATGGTTCTGTAACACCTTCTTCTACACATTTGGGAAACTTTGCCTCAAACCTTTCAGGAGGTCAAATGTATGGACCTGGGGCACCCCTTGGAGGAGCACCCACAGCTGCTAACTTTAACAGACAACATTTTTCCCCACTTAGTTTGTTGACTCCATGTTCATCAGCATCAAATGATTCTCCTGCACAGTCAGTATCCTCTGGAGTTCGTGCACCTTCGCCTGCCCCATCATCAGTACCTTTAGGGTCAGAAAAGCCCAGCAATGTCTCTCAGGACAGAAAAGTTCCAGTCTCTATTGGGACTGAACGTTCTGCACGTATCAGGCAAACTGGGACTTCAGCTCCATCTGTTATTGGGAGTCATTTATCCACATCAGTAGGGCATAGTGGCATCTGGTCCTTTGAAGGGATTGGTGGCAATCAAGACAAAGTAGACTGGTGTAACCCTGGTATGGGAAATCCTATGATTCATAGGCCAATGTCCAATCCAGGAGTGTTTTCACAAGAGTAAAACAGGCAGGAAAAAGTGGTCACCCTTTTAGACTTGCAGGTGGGACATTAGAGCCACTTACTGACGATGTGGCCTGTGGTCTGGAAGGCCAGCTCCACAATGTTCCCATCATGATCCGAGGCTGCCTGGTGGAACACTGCAAAGATGTTCTTCCAGCCCGAGCGGATGTTGGCTGCCTGGGAGTTCACCATCTGCGCGATGCAGCGGATCACCATGTCCCGGATGGTTGGAGACCTAAGGAAAGAATGGGGCAGCCATGTCATCTGTACTTTGAATGGTGGGAAGAAAAATGAACATGGCATCACTTAGAAGCAGTGCATTAAAAAGACCGCATTTTTATTTTTCTATTTTTATTTTTTATTTTTGGAGCCCAACACGGGGCTTGAAGTCACGACCCTGAGGTCAAGACCTGAGCTGAGATCAAGGGTGGGATGTTTCACTGACTGAGCCACCCAGGCACCTCCCAACACCTGCATTTTTAAAAAGCACATAGTAATCCACATTCATTTAAAAAAATAAATAAAACTAGATACAACAAAAAGAAAAAACATTAAGACAATCACTGTGGCAGATAGTCAGATGCTTTCCCAGCAGCTGTCCTCCCACCTCCTTGAAAACAGAACTTCGATTTCATGCAGGCAGCATTATGCCTGACCACAGGGAGCCAGTCATAAACAGGACAAGACAACATGACAATTTTGTCTCATGTGCCAGGCCCTTAATACCCCAGCCTCCCTTTCAGCCAGGGGAGCTACATGACCAGTTCTAATTATACATGAGAGAAAAATCTGTGGGAATGGGAAGGGGAGGGGTTTCTACTAGTTTTGGTTTTGTCTTATAAAAAATACACATGGTAGGCTCTGCCCCTTTCCTGGTATCCCCATTCTGAACACAGCATGATGCCTTGAGCTAGAACCTCTGTTCAGCATCACAAAACAATAGGCTCAAAGATAAAAAGTGATCCTGTGGATGGACAAAGGGACAGAAAGAAGCAGCGTCCTTGGGCACCTGGGTGGCTCAGTCGGTTAAGCATCTGCCTTCGGCTCAGGTCATGATTCCAAGGTGCTGGGATCGAGTCCCGCATTGGGCTCCCTACTCAGCAGGGAGTCTGCTTCTCCCTCTCCCTCTACCCCTTCCTCCCCTGCGCTCTCTCTCAAATAAATAAGTAAAATCTTTAAAAAAAATAGCAAAAAAGAAAGAAGCTGGGTCCTCAATGACAATTTGGGCTATGGAACCAAAGTTGGGTCTGCCTGCCTCTGACTTGTTACGTAACAATACACAGCCTTCTGGTTTAAGGCATTGTTGGTCAGTTTTTCTGGATGAAAACCTTCACACTAATAATACTCATAATTCTCCCAGGCAGAGATGACCATTTCTAAATTCTTGGTGCATATCCTCTTCGATTTTTAGGCAGGAATATATGTGTATGGTAAACACATATACATGGATGGGAATATACATATGTAATTTAAGATGCACAATTTTAAATTTAATTATTACAAAACAAAACCTGAAGACAGAAAAAATGGCCCATTTTCTGAAGCAGCTGCAAGGTTCAACATGGTGTTACCTCGATATTTGCAAAAGGTTAGCATGTATGTCTTGCAACCTATTAAGACATGTGCAGTTATGGGGTGAGCTCCATTATCATACAAACAACAAGAAGCAAGGCTACACAACCTATCACTTCCACATCACTAGCTCTGAAAGCCATTAGAGTGGCTTTGGGATTGCAGACTTGACTTGCAAATTTCATCTGGCTTACGGTAACATTCATGTTCATCTGTGGGATCCATACTAACTGATAAGAGGTCATTTAAAGAAGGCAAGGAGAAAGTTAAAACAGAGTTAAAACTTAGCTAAGAGTCCACAAAGCAAATATGTCACTCACAGATAACAAAGGACTGACTACATACCTATGTGACTTCAATATATAATACAACTGAATTCATGACTGCCTCCCTCCCCCTCATGGGGAAGAAAAGTAGCTCATTGGGAAGAATTATACGTACTTTTTTAAGATTTATTTGAGAGAGAGAGAGGGAAAGAGCATGAGCAGGGTGGGGACAGAGGCAGAGGGAGAGACTCTCAAGCAGACTCCACACTAAGCGTGGAGCCCAACGGTGGGCTCAATCTCATGATCCAGAGATCATGACCTGAGCTGATATCAAGAGCCGGATGCTCAACCGACTGAGCTACCCAGGCGCCCCTCTACACATATTTTTTTTTTTTTAAGATTTTATTTATTTGACAGAGAGAGAGAGACAGAGAGAGCAGAAACAAGCAGGGGGAGTGGGAGAGGGAGAAGCAGGCCTCCCGCCGAGCAGGAAGCCTGATGTGGGGCTCGATCCCAGGACCCTGGGATCATGACCTGAGCTGAAGGCAGACTAACGACTGAGCCACCCAGGCGCTCCTACATGTACTTTTTATTTCTTTATTTTTTAAAAGATTTTATGTATTTATCTGATGGGGGGGGAGAGGAGAGAGAACAAGTAGGGGAAACGGCAGGCAGAGGGAGAAGCAGACTCCCCACTGAGCAGGGAGCCTGAGCCGAAGGCAGAGGCTTAACTGACGGAGCCACCCAGGTGCCCCTACATGTACTTTTTAAAATGTTTTTCGGGGGGGATGCCTGTTGGCTCAGTTAAGCGTCTGACTCTTGATCTCAGGGTCGTGAGATTGAGCCCTGTGTCAGGCTCTATGCTCAGCATGGAGTCTGTTTGTCCCTCTCCCTGCTCACACGCTCTCCCTCTCTCTCAAAATCTTAAAAAAAAAAAAAAAAGCGATGCGTTTCGGGGTGTTTGGATAGCTCAGTCAGTTAAGCATCCAACTCTTGATCTCAGGGTCATGAATTCATGCCCTGTATAAAAAGTATATTATTATAAGGGGCCCCTGGGTGGCTCAGTCAGTTAAGCGTCTGTCTTTGGCTCAGGTCATGATCCTGGGATCGAGCCTCACATTGGGTCCCTGTTCAGTGGGGAGCCTGCTTCTCCCTCTCCCTCTGCCGCTTCCCCTGCTTGTGCTCTCTCACTCTTGCTTTCTCTCAAATAAATAAAATCTTAAAAAAAAAGTTTACTTAAAAAAAAAAATTAAGATGCTTTTTGCCCAGGGGCGCCTGGGTGGCTCAGTCGTTAGGCGTCTGCCTTCAGCTCAGGTCATGATCCCAGGGTCCTGGGATCGAGCCTGGCATCGGGTTCTCTGCTCCGCAGGAAGCCTGCTTCTCCCTCTCTCACTCCCCCTGCTTGTGTTCTCTCTCTCGCTGTGTCTCTCTGTCAAATAAATAAATACAATCTTAAAAAAAAATGCTTTTTGCCTGATTATTAAAAGTAATGTGAGGACAGTAAACATTTTGGAAAATGTAGAGAAAAACATAATGAAACAAAAAATTCCTTTATATGACAGTATGATATTTCACATGGAGAGATTGATAAAACTGTCCTTATTACGCTGTCCAATTCCATAACCCGACCTTTTTGACTAAACTGTTAAGCATTTCCCGTGTCATAAACATTGTGAACATCTTTAACAGCTGCACAGTATTCCATGTTGTGGCTGTACCAACATTGACTTAACACTCTTTTATATTTAGGTGGGATCTGGTTTTTTAAAAATTATTTTGTGTGATTTACAACATTTTGTATTTCAAATTAATTCCTTAGAAGAGTTACAGAAGTGTAGAATTACTGAGTCAAAAGGCAGAGAAATGTTAAGGTTCTTACACATTGCCCAAATGCTTCTGAAAATGTTATAGCAAGTTACAGTTCCATCAACAGTGTCTGAGAGTGGCTGCAATGTGTGATTCTAAACTCACTCTGTTCCTTTTCAAATGCTGGCTGAGCAGCCACGGGATGGGTGGGGGGGCCTGGGACTCTGGCCATCAGTGTCACCAGCCAAATAGGCTGGCTGCCACATCAGGCCTCCATCTCCTCAGCACTCACAACAGTGTCTCCAAAGGTAGGAGGGTATTTCTGCGCATACGCTAAAATCAGGGGAAGTGCACCCGGGTGGCTCAGTCGGTTGAGCATTGGACGCTTGATTTCAGCTCAGGTCATGATCTCAGGGTCATGAGATCAAGCCCCACGTCGGGCTCCTTGCTGGGCGTGAAGCCTGCTTAGGATGCTCTCTCTTCCCCCTGCCCCCTGCTCTCTCTCTCTCTCTAAAAAAAATAATAAAATAAAGTAAAATAAAAATCAGGGGTGATGCCAGATTCTGGAATGGGCTTTATTTTCTCTTAAAATGAGCAGTAAGGTGATGAAGAGAAAAGAGAGACAGACATATCAGGGAGACTTTTCTGCTGCCGTTTTTGTTACCCTAAAGGACCCACATTGGCTATGGCCTTTGAACTCGTAAGCTTTCTTTTTTTTTTTAAAGATTTATTTATTTGCAGAGAGAGACACAGTGAGAAAGGGAACACAAGCAGGGAGAGTAGGAGACGGAGAAGCAGGCTTCCCACTGAGCAAGGAGCCCAATGTGGGGCTGGATCCCAGAACCCTGGGATCATGACCTGAGCCGAAGGCAGACGCTTAACCGACTGAGCCACCCAGGCGCCCCAGCTTTCATTTTCTTTAAAAAACAAACAAACAAACAACACTCTAAGCAGATCTCATGGACTCATTTTAGTGGTCGGGACAGACACCGGAAAGTCATCCTTGACATTTCTTCCTTTTATGCCCCATAGCTAATTCATCAGCACATGCTGTAGGCTTCCCATTCAAAATGTATGCAGAATCCAATCTCATGGTGTCTCATCCCCTTGGTCCAAATCTGAACAATGACAGTGGCTTTTCATTTTTCACGGATAAACGCAGGATGATCCCTTAACATATGTCCGACTATTTCACTTCTCTGCTCAAAAGCCTCCAACGGCTTCTTTCACAGAGAACAAGCCAAAGTGCTGACAAAGGCTGACAGTTCCTCCATGCCCCAGGCACTCTGCCACCACTAGGGCTTCATCCTCCAGGACTTTCTGCCTTTTTCACTCTGCCGGGCTACCCTGGCCTCCTTGCTCCTCCTCGTTATGCCAAGGACACTCTGCCGCAGGGTTTTGTTCTTGCTCTTCCCTCTGCTCACAACACTCTTCCCAAAACCACATACAGCCACTCCTGGCTCGTTCCTCACTTTAAGGGTCAACTTACCAAATGCATCTCGGCTGACTGCCCTGTATAAAGGAGTGCTTCTAGTCTTATCCCCTTACCTTGATTTAAACATTTATTTACTTGTTTATCTATCTCACTGGAATATAAACAAGGATTTTTTTTTTTTTTTTTAGATTTTACTTATGTATTTCACAGAGAGAGAGAGAGAGAGTGCGTGCGCGTAAGCATCAGCAGGGGCAGAGGGAGAAGGAGAAGCAGATTCCCTGCTGAGCAGGGAGCCTGATGATGCGGGGTTCGATCCCAGGACCCCGGGATCACGACCTGAGCCAAAGGCAGATGCTTCACTGACTGAGCTACCCAGGCGCCCTTCTAAACAAGGATTTACTATTTACTTTCATTATGGAAAACTTCAAACACATACAAAAGTAAAGAGGATATGGTGTACCCATGATGATTAAATCAGGGCCAGATGAAAACAGGAATTTTTGACTGTTTTCTTTAGTTCTGTATACTTGGCACTCAGACCAGTACTAGCAGCCGGTAGGCTGCAGTAATACAGGCCAAGTGAACGCATGAACAGGGCGAGTCCTTCACAGGTACAGCTGTCCTGATCTCTTCTATCACCCTCCTGGGGCAGAAATGATGGGTCACATAATTTTTGACCTTGTTTTGTTTATTTTTAAGATTTTTATTTATTTGACAAAGAGAGACACAGTGAGAGAAGGAACCAAGCAGGGGGAGTGGGAGAGGGAGAAGCAGGCTTCCCGCTGAGCAGGGAGCTCGATGCGGGGCTCGATCCTAGGACCCTGGGATCATGACCCGAGCCGAAGGCAGACGCCTAATGACTGAGCCACCCAAATGCCCCTCTTGACCTTGTTTTAGGATGCCTCAGCAGTGGCTCTTTCTCTGAACAACGTCAGCACCCACCCCAGTAAGAATGCATGGCACATTTCTACTAGTTGCGGTGGTGTCATCTGTCCTTCTGGGAAAGGTCACACGCAGATCTCAGTGACGTACTTAGAAACAATACATGTGAATCAGTCTGTTCATTTTACCTGTTTCCATCAACAAAGGAAGAAAATATTATGTGATTAGCGTTAGGAGGTCTTTTTAGGCCTCCAATGGGGAATTTGACAAGGCACATACCTGTTTTTCTTCATGATATGCTCAAAGGGCCTCAGAAAATCTTTCTGGAAACGAAAGTTGGCTAATTCTCCCTTCTCGAGAAACTTCATAGAGAGCTGCCTTAAGGAGTCAACAGCAAAGATCGCCACATCTTCATTGGGGTTACAGCCAACCTGAGCAGAAATGGGAGGCGAGGTGAGATAGGCACAGTACAACAATTGTGGATGTGGGCTTCTGAACATCAAGAATGGACAGCCTGCCTTCAGAACAAATGCTCTGAAAAAACACACCTAAGGAGAAAAGAAAATGGTGTTTCTTGGCTATGACCTGGACAATTCTGTTTTAAGTTTAATGATGAAAGATCAGTACTGCACATTTAATTAAAAATGCTTTCAAATGTGCTATTTAATTTTTTAAAGATTGTGGCAAAATACACGTAAGACACAAAAGTTACCATCTTAACCATTTTGAAGCACACAGTTCAGTAGTGTTAAGGACATCCACATTGTTGTGCACCACATCTCCAGAACTCTAGCAAAGCTGAAACTCTATACCCATTAAACAATTCCCCACGTGCTAATTAATTTTATCCAAGTATACAGGACAGGTCAAAAGACTTTAAAGTCTCTGTAAAGCCTTTTTTTTTTTTCTTTAAAGATTTTATTTATTTATTTGACAGAGAGAGAGACAGCAAGAGAGGGAACACAAGCAGGAGGAGTGGAAGAGGGAGAAGCAGGCTTCCCATGGAGCAGGGAGCCTGATGTGGGGCTCAATCCCAGGACCCTGGGACCACGACCTGAGCCAAAGGCAGATACTTTATCGACTGAGCCACCCAGGTGCCCCTCTGTAAATCCTTTTCATACTTGCCTATATCTGTTGCCTAATTATAAACGAGTATTGTCGGCCTCAAAAAATTCAGCACAAATATTAAGGCTTTTCAATTTCCTTAAAATTGTACTTGTCTATAGTTTACCTACTTTTAGAGACTGGAGTTATGGGTATGTATTTGGTTGGCGCTTCTCAGACTTTTCCCTCAAGAAGAATCCCTCACGCAGAGCAAGGGAATGTTTCCTACCAGAACCCCTGCCAAGGATCTGGGGCATCTTGCAGTAGCCTACTCCAAGCAAGAAATTTCACTGGCATGTGGTCTGACCTGAAAAGGTTTTATTTTTAACAAGAAGTAATGTTGCAATATCACTTCAAATAAAGAAAAATTGGAAACATCAACAGGAAATAGTTACATAAGGGTATGTTCACAGACACGGAGTAACATTTGGCAGTTAAAAAGAAATACGTCCAGGGGCGCCTGGGTGGCTCAGTTGGTTAAGCGACTGCCTTCGGCTCAGGTCATGATCCTGGAGTCCCGGGATCGAGTCCCGCCTCGGGCTCCCTGCTCGGCAGGGAGTCTGCTTCTCCCTCTGACCCTCCTCCCTCTCATGCTCTCTGTCTCTCATTCTCTCTGTCTCAAATAAAAAAATAAAATCTTTAAAAAAAAAAAAAAAGAAATATGTCCAGCCTTTAAAAAAAAAAAAAAGAAGAAGAAAATTCTATCACATGCTACAACATGGATGAACCTTGAGGACATCATGCCAAGTGAAAGAAACCAGTCACAAAAGGACAAATGCTGCATGATTCCAGTTATATGAGGTAGCGAGAGTAGTCAAATTCATAGAGACAGAAAGCAGAATGGTGGTTACCCTGGACTGGGGGAAGGGGCAGGGCAGAGGAAGGAATGGGAAGCTAGTATTTAGCGGGTTTGGAGTTTCCATTTTACAAGATTTCTGAAAAAAGAGCTCCTCAGATCTGTTGCACAAAATGTGAGTGTACTTAACACTAATAAACTGTACACTTATAAACGGTTAAAATGAAAAATTTTATGTGTATTTTACCACAATCTAAAAAAGAATAAACTCATACATACTAATAACATAGTTAAATATTTAAGATTCCTTGCTAAGTGGAGGAAGCAAGTTACAAAATGATATGTGCAATACCAATTATGTTTTTTTTCAAAAAAGCAAAAGAAACCAAGACAATATTATCTGTATTTCTGTGAGTATATACATATACACGTGCATAGAAAAATGTCAGGGTATATACCAAACTGGTAATAATTAGTTTTGGGCAGGGTTCAATAGGGGAGTGGTGATGGTCAAACGCGGCTTTAACGGTAATTTTTTTTAAGATGTTTATGTCATGTTCATTAAATTAAATACTAATAAAAAGAGTATTCCTCTCCTAAACATCAGGATTCAGGAAATCCTATAGCAGGAATACACTCCATGCTTATCGTGCAGCTCTGCACACCCCAGGACGCACACGTGTCCTAATTTAGAAGAGAAACATGGGACTGTTCCCAAGGCTCTGCTAGAATGCCAAGAGCTAAGTTACAGCTGTACTCAGCCATTCGCTTCTTCAAACCTACGAGATTCTTATTATATGGAGTAACATTTGGCAGTTAAAAAGAAATATGTCCAGCCAACCAAATATATACCCAGAACTCCAGTCTCTAAAAGTAGGTAAACTATAGACAAGCAGAACATCTTCCTGAGGTGGTAGAAAGAATGAAGACTCCCAGAGGGAGCAACTGAGTTTTCCACAACTTTGTGCTTAGTGGCTCTGATGAGATGGAACAGACACTGGTAATGAAGGTGACAACCATGAAATGTCTCATTACTATCTGTCAGCCTACATCCTGAGCTGCCCGTAAGTGACCCACAGATAACCGAGGACTGGCACCTCAAGAGTCTTGACAACAGAACGGCAGGTGGGAAAAGTAACTTGTACAAACTGATGTTCTCTCCTGAAGAAGTCCCACTGAACATGAAATCCAGACTCCGAAAAGCTGGGAAAGGCTACCAAAACACTTTTGGATTATTACTTCTGAGAGAAAAAAGGATTCCACGGCTGCTAGTGGAAAGATTTCACGGAACAAGTGAGCAATGTCTGCTCCAGCTTAGTGGTCACAGGCTTGAATGAGAATACAACCTAAGGTACAGTAATGGTAATGGTTCGCATTCCCTTTCTCCAGCGATTTCACACCAATTCAGTCAACTGGTCCACTAGGAAGTTATTTATCCAGAACAGTGAGAAAGATGGTTGCTGAGCTGGTTGATTACTCTAGGTGACAGTGCTACCATTCACTCGACAAACAGTTGCTCGGGGTCATGTGCAGGCTCTCGGGGCTATGTCCTCCCTGAGGATTCAGATGAAAGGTCACCTGCTTCTTTTTATAAGTTTCTTCCATTCAATGGAGAGAGTGCAATTCTCTTTTGGATAAACTGTTTTTTACTCACAGTACTTTTAAGCATCTGTATTACAACTCTTCATCTCCAGGAGTGAGAAAATTGCTTTGAAATCATGGAGTATGTTTTGGTAGGAAATAGTGCTATTAAGCTATCACTTTTAAGAAGTTAATGGAATCACAGATGCATAAACACACACACAATACATATACATTCTGACTTTTAAAAGTCTTTATGTGTGCATGTGCCTATATGTACGCGATAAAACCTCTAGCGGAGAGGAACAAGGGTAGTCTGGTTTTCTCTCAGTAGTTGTCAGTTTTAGAACACACAAATCTTTAGCCTGTTTTTGATGTAAAAATAAATGTTAGTTTTCTAGGGATGCCTGGGTGGCTTGGTTGGTTAAGCACCAACTCTTGATTTCGGACAGGTCATGATCTCAGGGTTGTGGGATGGAGCCCCATGTCAGGCTCCATGCTCAGTGGGGAGTCTGCTTGAGATTCTCTCTCTCTCTGCCTTTCCCCTAGCTTGCATGCATGCATGCTCTCTCTCTCTCAAATAAGTAAGCAAATCTTTAAAATGAATGAATGAATGAATGAATGTTAGTTTTCTCAACAAAGGTTTCAGAAGAGTGGTGGCAACAAAAGCCAGAATATAAGAAGCAGTGACATTAACAGTGAAACTATATAGAACATAACTTAATCTTTGGTCATTCAGAAGACACTAGAGGATTTTGCCATGTGTTCAAACATCAATGCTTGTCCAGTGACTACATGATTTTGTGGTGTTAGCCTAGACCCTGGATATGGGATGTTAAAGTATTTTTAATACCACTAAGATTTTTTTTTTTTTTTTAAGATTTTATTTATTTAACAGAGAGAGAGACACAGTGAGAGAGGGAACACAAGCAGGGGGAGTGGGAGAGAGATAAGCAGGCTTCCCACCGAGCAGGGAGCCCGATGCGGGGCTCGATCCCAGGACCCTGGGATCATGACCTGAGCCCAAGGCAGACGCTTAACGACTGAGCCACCCAGGCGCCCCAATACCACTAAGATTTTAATTTCATACTCCAAGAGTTCTAGCAATACCTAAATATGCTCCACAGGTAAAATGAATTATGAGTATCCTCTGCTTCATGCAATGTCACACTGCACCGCTTTGCTTTTTTTTTTTTTTTAAGATTTATTCATTTGCTTGAGCGGGGAGGAAGAGGGGCAGAGGAAAAGGGAGAGAGAGAGTCCCAAGCAGATTCCACACTGAGCACACAGCCTGATGCAGGGGCTCAATCTCACCACCCTGAGATCATGACCTGAGCTGAAATCAAGAGTCGGACACCTAACTGACTGTGCCATCCAGGCGCCCCAGGTACCACTTTGCTTTTATGAAAGACCTACCTTAGTGTCTATTTTCACTACCCAAAAAAAAAAATCCAAAGAGGATTTTTGCTTTTACAAAAGAAACGTGAAAAGTGAAAATGACATTCAGCATTTGTTTTGCAGCGAGCTGTTACAGAGGCAGCACGCGGCCGGCAGCAGGAGGGGTGCTGCCAAGTCCCTTCCCCGCGAACTCCACTCAGCATCTCAGCATTAAGCCACCAGCGCTCTGAACTGTGTCAGTGAGCATTTGGGCTTTATCTCGGTTCTGTGCATTGTTAGCAAGATGTGTCCTAAAGTATCAGAAAAGCCTAAGAAAGGTTATTTTTGGGGTGTGGGAATGCTCAACAATTTTTTCATATAAATTAATGGTAACTGCCTCTCTGCTTTACACCATCTCGGCTTATGAAAGGTCTCATAGCAACGTTCTACTTTTGGATAACAGGGAAAGCTGTATAGCTACCTAAACTCTCTCTCACTTCCTCCTTGAGTATAGTTGCCTGCCTTTTTCTGGACACCGATGGAGTGGTTTTTGAATTTGAAGAGTTACCTTATTGAAGTGATCTCCAATCACATGCCATATTCGCGACCACTGCAACCGGATCCGATTCATGTTGTAGTATGATATCTCCACAATCTTCTGTAAGCTGAACATGCGGGGGTGGTGTGGGGAAGCCAGCTCGTCCATGGACACGGCGCACAGCCAGCGGACAAAGTCAACTACAGGCCAGACCCAACAACACATGCGAGGCTTCATTAGTAATGGCCAGACAGCCACAACATGAGGATTCTGTAGTTGTCACACGTGAGTGACAAATACATACCTATGGCATTTCCATCCAGTCTAGTAGATCCAGTAAAAATTCTAGGGAGATAATTCCAGACACAATAAAATAAAAGTTAGATTCGGAAGCTGTGTTTCAATTTCAAACACTGAAGAAAAGGCAAAAAGGAAGCATTTCAGGTCTGGCACCTCCACTAAAATAAATGACTGAGGCATCAGAGGTACAAAACTGGTCAGTGAACCCAGAGCACAGATGCCTATAATGGTAGAAAGAAAAAGTGACACATCAAAAGGAGGAAGGGAGAGTAAAATGTAACAGCATGTGATGTCACAACAGGGGGAGTGGGAGAGTGAGGACCTCCAAAAAGCTGCTGCTCCGTAAGACAAACAAAAAAAACTAGCAGAAAAAAGTTACCCAAACCAACTCTTTGAGGACTGAACTCTGGAAATTACCAAAGGCTGGTAAAATGTTTATTCAAGAAAAATGGCTCAATTTTGGTATAAATAGAGACTATTATGGTGTTTTAGGCTGGCCTATTTCTATTACTGTCTTCTCAATTCCTCAGGAATGTTGAAAGCCAACAGCTCTGAAGTCACGGTAACTGCGAAACCAGCAACTTAGTTCCACAGGAGAGAACACAACTGTCCTGGAATTTCCCCCAAAACACCAGTCTCACAGAAGTGACATTATGTGACCTGCCTGGCAGTACCCTGGAAACCCCCCTTTCCAGGATCTGTCTTTGACTCAGACCTCGTTTGGTGCAAATAGTCTTTTCCCTGGGGCTTTTGTCAAAAAGCAGTTTGTAGTAACTAGCTGAGGTGGCAGTCACAACCGGGGTAAACAAGGACCCCGCCAAAAACTTAAAAGGAAAAGCTGGGAATGAGACATGCACAGAAGGTTTTATTTTTATTTTTTTTAAAGATTTTATTTATTTGACAGAGAGAGACACAGCGAGAGAGGGAACACAAGCAGGGGGAGTGGGGATGGGGGAGCAGGCTTTCCGCTGAGCAGGGAGCCCGATGCGGGGCTCGATCCCAGGACCCTGGGATCATGACCTGAGCCGAAGGCAGACGCTTAACGACTGAGCCACCCAGGTGCCCTTTTTTTTTTTTAAGATTTTATTTATTTACTTGAGAGAGAGAAGAGTGAAAGAGAGAAGAGCGAGAAAGAGAAGAGCAAGGGAGAGGGAAGCAGACTCTCTGCTGAGCAGGGAGCCCAACGCAGGACTTGATCCAGGACCCTGGGATCATGACCTGAGCCAAAATCAAGAGTCGAATGCTTAACTGACTGAGCCACCCAGGTGCCCCTCTTTGTCTAATTCTTAGCTGATCACTAAAGCTAAATGAGCAGAGATAGTGGTCATGAGATCACGCTCTGCAGGGAGTCTGCTTGAGATTCTTTCCCTCTACCTCTCCTTCTGCCCCTCCCTCTGTTCACGCACGTGTGCTCTCTTGTGGGGGCTCTCTCTCTCTCTCTCAATAAATAAATCTTTAAAATATATGTATACAATTCAGTGGGTTTTAGTATATTCAGACTCGTGTGGTCATCACCACTATCAAATTTCACACTTGGTCTTAGCCAAAAGGCCGAGAAGCTATTCCATTATCGAATTTCATAGCATTTTCATCAGCCTGTACTTACTATCAGTCACTCCCCATTTCCTCCCCTGCCAACCCCTATAGCCGCTAATCTTCACTCTGTCTTTATAGATTTGCTGATTCTGGGCATTGCTGTATTGTCCATTTCTCTCTTTCAGTTTTATTTGTTCTGCCGTGTGACTTTGGGGCTTTGTTGTTAGATGCATATATGTTTGTATGTTTTCTTGACAGATTAAACCTTTTATATTATAAAATGTTCTTTGTCTCTACTAATGATTTTTCAATCTCTTGTCTTACATTGGTGCAGCCACCCCAGTTCTCTTTTGGCTACTTTTTGATATGCTATGTCTTTTTTATTCTTTTACTTTCAACCTGTTTGTGTCTTTGAATCTAAAGTGAATCTAAAGTGAGGGCGCCTGGCTGGCTCAGTTGGTAGAGCATGTGACTCTTGATCTCAGAGTTATGAGTTCAAGCCCCACACTGGGCATTATAGCTTACTTTAAAAAAAATAATAAAAAAAATAAAGTGAGTTCCTTTGGAAAGCAGATGGTTGGACCGTGTTTATTTTAGTCCATTCCACCAATCTCTTCCTTTGGATTAAAGTGTTTTATCTATTTACATTTAATTATAATTTAATTGTTGATGGGTAGAATTTAGATCTGCTTTTTTTTTTTTTTTTTAATTTATTTGAGACAGAGAGAATGAGAGAGACAGAGAGCACACGAGAGGGGGGAGGGTCAGAGGGAGAAGCAGGTTCCCCGCCGAGCAGGGAGCCTGATGCGGGACTCGATCCCGGGACTCCAGGATCATGACCTGAGCCGAAGGCAGTCGCTTAACCAACTGCGCCACCCAGGCGCCCTCTTTTTCTCTTTTTATAAATATCTGTTGTGTCGTTTTTGTTCCCCATTCCTTCATTATCACTGCCTTCTTATTTGTTAAGAAATTTTCTAGTGTATCATTCTACTTTCCTTGTTTCTTTTACTGTATTTTTTCAGTGTTTTTCTTACTGACTTGGGAATGATAACATCTTAACTTTTAACATTTGACTTTGAATTAATGTCTACTTAATTTTAGTAGTATGAAACATCCTGGCTCCTATATTGCTCCATTCTCTGCCCTCTCCTTTGTGCTGTTGCTATGTAAGTTTTTTGTTTACACATACCTGCCCATCAACACAGATTGATGACGATTACTTTCGCCATCCTCAAATCAGATAGATAAAATGAATTACAAATGAATTATTTCCCCAGGCATCTTCACCAGTGCTCTTTACTTCTTCAGCTCCTTTTGAGTTATTATCTTTCCTTTGATTTCAACCTGAGATCATGACCTGAGCTGAAATCAAGAGTTGGACACTTAACTGACTGAGAGACCCAGCCAGGCTCCTCCTGAATTGTACATTTTAAAAGAATAAGTCTTGTGCTATGTGAATTATATCTCAATTTAAAAAAATGTAATGGCACACAAAATGATGCCGGGCAAGACTGCTACTGTCCATGATCTGGCTAATGCAGAGAAACAGAAAAGCAAGAATTGTGATTAATGGAAGAATAAACATTTTGTACTTTTAGCCTAAACCTAACTGAAAAATGTGAGGAAAACCCATCAAAAGTATGTTACAGACAGTATCTCTTTTGGAGAGAAGCAGGGAAGCAACAGGAACAAGGTAATCAAAATACACTAATAAAGATTTTAAAATACTAAGAGGATTGTTCTGAGAACAATACAAATTATGCCCCAAATTCTATACTCCTACCACCTCAACACTGTCTATATTTAATACTGTGGAATCCGTCATTAACCACATGAACAGCAGTGTACATGATTATTCAAGGGTACTTTTCAGGAGTTTATTCATTTTATTTATTTTTTATTTTTTTAAAGATTTTATTTATTTATTTGAGAGAGAGAATGAGAGAGAGAGAGCACACGAGAGGGGGGAGGGTCAGAGGGAGAAGCAGACCCCCTGCTGAGCAGGGAGCCCGATGTGGGACTCAATCCCAGGACTCCAGGATCATGACCTGAGCCGAAGGCAGTCGCCTAATCAACTGAGCCACCCAGGCGCCCGAGCTTATTCATTTTAGAAAATTCATATTTTAAATACTGCTATCTAATGAATGTCTTTGAATAAGAATACCTAGATTTCTCGTGGATGTTTAGTTTCAAGTAAACAGGTATCATGGAAAGGTTCTAAGGAAAATGAAATGCAAACTATCAATGTGGCCACCTCTCACTCGTAGATAGGCTTCACATCTTAAACCCTTCTTGGAATTTTTTTAATTAGAAATTTCCGTTAAGGGAACAAGGTAATCTAAAACATCAGCACAAGCAAAAACGCTTGTTTTTAAAAAGGTCATGAATACAAATGAACATGAAGGTTATTAGTAGCTGTGGATCACGTGTGCTACTTCCTAGTTTGAATGATCTAGAGCTCACAACACTTACAAGAGTCAAACAGATTAAGAATCCACGAACTACACAGAGGATGTGCCACGCTACTGGATAGTCCAGCTTCGCTGGAGAACAAAATCATTACCTGTCTACAGCTACAACCACACTCTGCGAGCTGGTCTCACCAACCGATTCCTGGAAGCTGGCCATCTGTCTCTTATCCACTCCACCACTCACCAAATTACCTGAAACACAATGTGCAAAATCAACATTGCTTCAGAAACAGTCAAGTATTTAGAACAAAGTATTCTGTGGCATCAATATGCAGAGACAAGAGACATAAGAGAATGGTTTGCAGGCAAAACAAAACAAAAACACCCTCAACTGATGACAATAAAATTAAATGTAGGTTTTGGCATTTGGCATTTAAAATACATTCTTATTCTTAAAATACAAGCTCCCTTGCTTGTACCAACCACCTCCCTTTCTTCAGTCTTTCACATTTTCATAGTATTGAATGCCTACATTTAGGACAACAAATACAAAATTAAGCAGCACTAACTTAGAGCTCCTGGAAGACGGGACAGCTTATACCTGCTCAATGTGTGGTGTGCTTTCCAGGACTTTACTCCAGCCGTCCCTGCATGCGCCCTAAGAAGCAGGTGCTATTATAGCTTCCCCCTTTCATACAGTCTGTGGTTTTAACCGTGAACCTGTCCTATTCCAATCAGTGCACGTGGGACCTAGGAGCCTGCCCTAGACAAATTAAAATGTATAAACTGAGTGCTTAGAATGTGGTCCGGCACTTTTGTTTGCCTTATTTCCTGTTAGATCACCGACGGGAGCCTCTCGATTCAATGAGAAATCATTCTACTTTCAGGAGAATGAACATGGAAGAGACGTAATGTACTTTTCAAAATCTAGAGATACACATACCCATTCCTCTAATACTAGGTACTAAAGCTGTAGCCCTTCTAAAGCAAATGGCTTCTACCCCCAATACACTTACTTCTAGGCATAGAAAGAAAAGTAATGCACCCTGCTGAATTTGATAAAATAGGCATTTACTCAACAGTTTAATCAGTTAAGAGAGCCAAAGCAGCACTTCCACTTCCATTAATAAACATACTGTCAGCTGGCACACAAGGAAGAGCTGGTTTACGTGACAGTCCTGCTGAGACAAGAAGCGTTTCATTCCGGTTAACTTGTGACTCCATGACGGCCAGCCGTGGGGCCTGGTGTCTTACCAAGGCCAAGGCCCATGAACTCTTCTCCCACCAACGTGTGGCCCTTCAGGCTCCCTTCTCTTTCACGCCCAGATCCAGACAGGTAGCGGGTTTTCACACCGGTTCCTATCAGCTGAGCGAGCTCCAGCTGGCTGATGCATTTCAAGATCTAATGAAAAGAAGGCGTGAAGAAATGAGTTCTCGTTTCTGGCCTGAAAAGGTCACTGCAATCTTAGTCATTCGAGAGCTCTTTGAAACACACAGCTTTTCGTCAGGTGAGAATGAAATCACAGGGTCTCAGGATGGTTTTCCTAGTCCTCGCGAGGCAACCCACTGACTGCAGGCCTGGAAGATAGACTCCACTATTTTTTTTTTCAAACTGTTAAAAAGTAAAAGAGAAAATGACTAAAAGAAAAGCTGGTACAATGGAGTTATGCGATATAGATGTTTAATTATGCAAATGTGATAAATGCTCCAGAAAGAGAGAAAAGCTGTTTGACTGGTGCAGGGAGAGAATCCCACCCACTGTGCTACCCATTAAGTGTGCCATCTGATCTGACTTAGCCCCCCTCACCTCCTTTCTATTCTACCTCTCAGACACAAAATGCTAGCCTCCCTGCTGCTCCGTTAACTTGACATGTCTCGTCCTATCCCCAAAGCCTTTGTATTTGCTGTTCTTTATGCCTAGAACATGTTCCTTATGCTCTTCCCCACGGTTCACTCCCAGCTTAGATTCCCAGCTCAGACACGTGTCCCTCAGAGACCTCTCTTGACTGCCCTGAGACTGCATGCACACCGCCTCTACCACCATCTCCCGGTCACACTACTTTCCCCCTTAGCCCTCACCACTTTTTGGCATTATGCCATATATTCTCTTGTTCTCTGCCTTAAGTACCAACAGGGCATCAACACTGTCTTGTTCACTGCTGAATCCCCAGCACTTAAAATAGCTGGTGATTTTTGTTTGGTTAACTGAACGAATGGAGAACATGCCCTAGAATGGGTGTGCAGTCGGAAAAAAGACTGTAGCTTCCGGCCCCATGGGGTGGTTCTGGGGTGGAGAAGATATACCTGCACACAAGCCTTTTCTCGACCGGAGCTTATCTGAAGAAACAGAAATGGGTCTCGACTTCTACTGGAGGAAAAACTGGTCGCCAGAAACTTATCGAGGGACAGCATGGAGATCTCCAGGTAAACCCTTCCTAAGGGATTTTCATGGGAACTTCTGACTAAAGCTGAGTTTTGCCTTTTGTGTTGATGTTACGATCCAATCTCAGAGTATGGGAGTCCACTATAGCACTGAGCACTGCTTGGTATTGTTACTTATAAATGTCCTGTTGACTGCGAAAGGTATTTAATTGTACTGGAAAGAGCCATGCCCTGATTACTCCACATACAATGATACCACTAAATTATTACCAGTAAACTGTTATTAACTCCCTCCCTTTTCCAGAAGCTGAGGATGGCCAGCGTCTCAAGTATGTCAACAACTTGCGGCCAGGACTTCTTGGCTCCAGCCTGGTTTCTCAAGGTTTCTGACCATCAAATAGGTGGTAATTCATTTTAACATTTCTAGGTGCTGCTATATACTTGGCAACCAGCAGGAACCCCATCGAGATCATGCCTCCCAGATTAAAAAAAGTTCTATGAGAGAAAGCAGCTATTTATTGATTCACTACGTATTGTGACTCCTCAGAAAACAGGAAATTACTTCTTAAAAACAAAACAAAGAAAAACAACAACAAAATGGCTCCTGGCTGGCTTAGTTGGTGGAGCATGTGACTCTTGATCTTGGGGTCCTGAGTTTGAGCCCCACCCCGGGCACAGAGATAACTTAAAGAACAAAAACAAAAACCAAAACCCAACCAACCAGCCCTCCCTACCCCTACCCTGTACAACTTCATCTTCTCTAATATGGAAAACTCCAGGGTTGCGGTGGAGAAAGGAAAGGCTGGGTGAAAGGGGACAAAGGTACCTGCCAAGATGAGTGGGAAGAGGTGGGCTAACATCTCCTGAGCCCTCACTACCTGCCAAAGGCAGTTCTGAGCCCTCAAATGACCTCCCTTCACCTCATGGCAACCCCACGAAGGTGCGGCCCGGGGACTAAGGGACCTGCATGCCACACACGCAGGCAGAGCTGCACACCCACACCGGACCCCAGCAGTCCAGCTCTGGGCCTTCCCCCTTAGGAACCGACCCCGCGGGGGAGGAGGCAGCCATGTCCCCTCTAGGTGCCCACGGTCCCCGTCACTCTGCACACTCACCTCTACTCTTTCAGTTTTCTCCCTAAAGCAAGAAGCAATATGTGCAGACACCAGAGAAATCAGGTAATGTAATTTAAGGGAAAAAAGCAGAAAATAAATCGCCTGCATAATTCTATTACTCAGGATGTTGGGCGCCTGGGTGGCTCAGATGGTTAAGCGTCTGCCTTCGGCTCAGGTCATGATCCCAGGTTCCTGGGATGGAGCCCTGTGTCAGGCTTCCATGCTCAGCAGGGAGTCTGCTCCTTCCTTTCCTTCTGACTCTCCTCCCTGCTCATGCTCCCACTCTCTGAAATGAATAAAAAATCTTTAAAAAAAATATAAATGGGTGTTTTCAGCGTTTTTACCTGCAAAGGTGTCATCCCCAGCTCATGTCCACTTCTTCCCTGAGCGATTTTGGATAAATCATTCACGAGGCGCTCAAAAATGTTAGCAGCATTTAAATCACAGTCGTAGTTGACATAAATATCTACAACACACTGGGCGTCTTGGAAAATAACACAGAGATATTAGAAATTCTGATCCAACAGACACAGCAGTTACATTTTCTCATTAAATGAGATTCCTTTTTCAAAAATGCTTCCCACTGAATCACTGACTCAGGTAGCCACGAATCCCTCAGGAAATGTGTGTCAGATGTACTAGAAGTCAGGAGGCCCTCTTCTGACACCTGCCTCGGCACTAACCGGAATCTTGAGCCCCTCACTCCACCTCTCCAAGGCTCATTTTCCTCATAAGAAAGAGATAACAACTGCCCGATCCACCTCTTCAAGTTGTGTGACTTATGGAATTATGTTTGATGACAGACAAGTCGGAGGCTTGGTTGACAGCCACATAATCGTACTGTGATAAAGTAAATCTGAATTGACCTTCGCATCCAATCAAGGGTTGGCAGCATCAGTACCTTGGACCCTGTGACTAACAAAGCATTCAGTTTGTAGGTGGAGTGACCCTGTATCCTGGTTTTGCAGGATTAGGGGGCTTCCCAGGATGTGGGACTTTCTGTGAGAAGACCACAAAGTGCGGGACAAACCAAATTGAGCTGGTCATCCTCTAAAGAAGTGGAGAGGGACTAGACGTTAGGTTAGCATTAGCCTTTAAGGTGAGCTTTCCCAGCACTGCATTAACACTCTAAAAGCAGGAGGTAAAGGTCTCAATCTGGATTCTGGAAAAGCATTTCTGGGTAGGTCAATGGATGAGCACCCTCAGAGTGAAAATACCTGCACAGATCCTTGTCAGAGTCTGAATGACCATCCACCTGTGCTCAAAAGAACTTGTTGATGTTTCTAAAATGTTCAGGAAAATCTCTTTGAAAAAGACCTACATGACATGAAGACAAAGGGGGACACCAATTAATACCATTTAAATTAGGGCTCAAAACCCCCAAAGGCTTTAGGGAACAGGCAGCTCCGAGTGAGGTAGCCTGGGGAGAAGTAAAAGAGCAGCGTGCGCACACACACGCACTGCTGAGGCGTGGCGGAACCCTGGCCTCCCGTGGGAACAGCTAGCGGGGCAGGACCACAGCGACCCGGAGGACGGAGCCCCCACCAGTGGAGCAGCTGCTCCTCAGCAACCACCAAGAGCTGTCAGGCAAAGATGAGGACTAGCGTTACAATTCTGAGAGAAACCAGAAATCTGGATTTTCATATAAAATGAAATGAAAATGACTTCTCAATTTGCCAACTAGTTCAGGTCATTTCAAACAATTTATAGGCTAAACAAAGATGTTCAGGGGCCTGAATCCAGCACATGGGCCACTCGACTTACACTTTTGGTTAGAAAAGCATGCAAGATTTGGGGGCAGAAACTTTTAGGAAAAGGTATTCTCTCACTTATTCAAAAAGTTCTTCTTTGGGGTGCCAGCAAGTAGACTGTGTAAGTCTAGTTCCTGGTGACTATGTCACCGGGAGTCAACTCTTTGTGTATAACCATTATACAAAAAAAGAAACAAACAAAACCCAAAAAATCATTTTGGAGGCCATACCTCTATTTGCATTTTCAAGTGCATTTTGAAGTTTGAAAGAAGAGTAAGAAAAATGGCAAGAGAGAGCTCAAAGACATCAGGCACTGAGGAGACGCCATTTTTGGACAACGCCACACAGAGATACTGCTTGATTGCGTTGATGAACATCTCGTGAGTCCTGAAGACCTGGCCGGCGTTCTGCAGCACAGACAGGAGCAGCTGCAGGGAAACCACCTTGGAACGCAGCTCGTGGGATCTGGCACAGGAAGGGAAAGATGGTGACAATGCTAAAAGATTCGATTTTAAAGAGCAGGTTTCTTGAGAAGGCCTCGCTCCTCTAGCAGCAAGCAGAATTTTCTGAGAGCCAACGAGTTAAGAGCTGGCACCGGCACCTAGATGCCTAGAGCGTGAGGGCAGATGGCATCAGGTGGGTCCTCCTGGGACCTGCAGGCCCATGAGGACAAGAGTTGCCAACTCCTACTATCCTTTTCTTCTCCCTGCCATAAAATAGGGTATTCAGCAGGAGCAAAGTAAGTATAAACTGACTCCAGAATGCTGGTTCTGCAACAACAGTTACTTTACATCATACCTGTGAGACTAAACCCTGTGTCCTGCTCTGTCTTTACTGAGAAATGGAAACAGTGCTCTTTATCCACCTGCCTCATGCTCTCCACCCTCACCCACAGGGCCAGAAAGAAGAAAACTTTCCTGAATCAAGTCCTTAACGGTCATCATATCTCAACAGAAGAGTCGAGGATTATTGTTAGCGACTAACAATAACAGTGACAATCGCATAAAGTGCAGGGTCCCCCACTCAGGATGCGATGATATCATCTCATGTGTTTGATCCTGTAAGGCACTTTCCCACAGTCACATTTTTCAGCTGAGGTTCAGTAACGCATATGGCTGTGGAGGTGCTTTCAAGCGAGCCAGGAGTGAATGCAGCTCCCTAGCTCCAAAGCGCTATCATCTCTGCAGTAACTGGTTCACTACAAAGAAAGGTTTGGCTTCTCTAGGATGCATCTGGGGCTTAAATCTGTACCCATGGAGCAGAGGTTTCCCACAAAGGCAGGGAAGTAAGGTTTGTACACATCCTGCCTCTGCCCACCCTGCATCAGAGTAAATTCATTAGTCAGAAAAAAGAGGGTGCACATTCAACATAATAACTCTTTTTTTGCATATAAACCAGGGAAAGCAACACTGGGCAAAATCTTGGTGTGGACACAGAGACAATCCATTATGAAAGGGCTGTAGAGACAGCAGGAGTCTGAAAAGCTGTAAATTCCTGCATTCACACCAACCAGGGGACAGGGCACTGGGGTTTCCTGGAATCCCCAACATCCTCCTGGGTCACCTGGGTCATACATGGCCAAGAACTGATGTCCACTTACTTTGGATCTGGGGGGCCTTCAGCAAGGGGTTTCATGGACAGCTTGCAAAGGGAGCGAAACACCAGGAAGGCGTCCTTCTGCAGAATGTGAGAGAACCTAGTGGCCACTTGATGGGCCTGTGCATCTGATTCCTGAGATTAGAAACAAATAAGAGAAAAATCAAGGAGTCAAAACAAAAGAAGAACTCGTTTTCAAAAATAAGGAACGGAATTATCTCATGGAAATTTAAAATTCTGTTATTTATTCAATGGGGAAGTGAGGAATGTGGGGGAGAGGACAATATGCCAAAATAGGAGCTATGGGGGAGTCATTTTAGCAATTCTAAAACCTTGTTCCTTGTCCTTCAAAAAGTGGGTATGGGTGGCTTAAAATGATAAATGAGCAAACGTTAAACCGTTAAAAATCTAAGACAAATACAGTTGACCCTTGAACAACACGGGTTTGAACCGCATGGGGCCACTTATATGCGAATTTTTTTCAATAAATACAGTACTGTAAATGTATTTTCTCTTAAGATTTTTTTCTCTAGTCTACTTTATTGGAAGAATACAATATGTAATGCATATATGAAATATATGTTAATCAATTGTTTATCCTATTAGTAAGGCTTCTGGTCAACAGTAGGCTATCAGTAGTTATTAAGTTCTGGGGGAGTGAAAAGTTAAATGCAGATTTTCGGCTGCATGGGGGGGCGGCGGTCAGTGCCCCTAGCCCCCGCATTAAAGGGTCACATGTATAAGTAATTATATTAGCTTGGATAACAGTATTTCTAAGAACACTACTGCAGGATAGATGGAGGAAAATGATAACGCATTTTAAAATATACTTCTTTAACTAAAAATAAGCTACATTAAAAAATATTTGTAACATGACAAAGACTAATATGCTCGACATACAAAAAGTTCTTATAATTCATTGAGGAAAAATACGGAAACCTTCCACCCAAATGAAAAACAGGCAAAAAAAACCATGAATAAGCAATTCACCAAGAAATGCAAATGACAGATTAACCTAAATAGTCTTACTACTAATTATTAAGGCGGGATCTTTCTCCCATCAGACCAGCAAAATTTGGAATGAAGGCTATCGCCCAGTTTTAATGAGGGAATGGGGAAATGAGCACTGATAGCCTACAGGTGGGCAGAGATTCAAGCATTACCTTCCTAGCAGGCTAATGTGATGTTAAGGAACAAAAGCCTTAAAGCTTCCAACTCGTGACCCAGCAATATCACTTGTAGGAATTTATCCTAAAGAAAGAATTAAGGATGTGCACAAGATTTATCTATAAGGATGCTCATTACAGAACTATTTCCTGTGATAAAAAACTGAAGTAACATAAAAACCTAACAGGGAACTGGTAAAATAGATTATGGCAATCCACAGGACAGAATTTTACATGACCACTGAAACAATTAGGTCTGTAGGTACTGATGTGAAAAGATGTCCAGGGGCGCCTGGGTGGCTCAGTCGTTAAGCGTCTGCCTTCGGCTCAGGTCATGATCCCAGGGTTCTGGGATCGAGCCCCGCAT